CTCAGTACTTTGCAGAAAACACCAAACAAAAATGCCATTTTAAAAGAGGTGTATTTTTTCTTTTAGAATGTAAGCTCCTCAAGAGCAGGGACAATGTTTTCTGTATGTTCTATTGTGCCTAGTACACTGTAAATGCTCAATAAATATTGATGATGGGAGGCAGTGAGTCTTGATGATAAGGGTGAGAAACTGAAATCCTAAACACTGTTTTGTTGCTTGTTTTATTATGACCTCAGATTAAATTGGGAAATATTGGCCCTTTTGAATAATTGTCCCAAAAATTACATTCAAATAAAAGTGCAATGGAGACCTTGGGGTCTTTATTTCCAGGAGAAAAGATACTTTCTGCATCTAGGGCAACAATCCTTTTCCCTCACAGCTCTTTATTTTACCTCACTCACTGATTTCTCCTGACCCCCAAGCCAAGGAGGTAAAATAATCATACATATATTTTAAGTCATATTTTATAGCTAAGGGATGTCAAGCTAGACTGAAGAGTTTTTTTTTTTTTTGAGACAGTCTAGCTCTGTCACCCAGGCTTGAGTGAAGTGGTGCAATCTCGGCTCAGTGCAACCTCCGCCTCCTGGGTTCAAGTGATTCTCCTGCCTCAGCCTCCTGAGTAGCTGGGCATACAGGTGCCCACCACCGTACCCGGCTAATTTTTGTGTTTTTAGTAGATGGGGTTTCACCATGTTGTCCCAGCTGGTCTTGATTTCCCAACTTCAGGCAATCCGCCCGCCTCAACCTCCCAAAGTGCTGGGATTACAGGAATAAGATACCGTGCCCAGCAGAGATGCGCTATTATTCAAGTAAATAAAACCTGAAACTTGGCACATTTGCCTATTTAATGTGCATCAGTCATCTGAACTAGGTTGATTTTGGAATAATGAAAACACTTCCATTAGTATTAACTAATGTTTTCTACATAGTAGCTCCCAATAGATTAAGGAAAATTTCCAACCCAAGATTTTTTGTCTTGGAATTTGAATAATGTGTGTGTAACTATCGCCTTGATTGTCCCAAATCCAGGCTTTATGTCTGCTTTTGTCAATTTAACATCCTAGTGCCAGGAAACTGGAAAATCCAAGGATTTTTTTGTGTGTAAAGTATTGAAATTTGTTTAAAACAGTCTCAACTCTTGCTTAGGCTGGGGTGCAGTGGCGTGATCTTGGCTCACTGCAACCTTCGCCTTCCAGGCTCAAGTGATTCTCCTGCCTCAGCCTCACAGGTAGCTGGGACTACAGGCGTGTGCCACCACGCCTGGCTAATTATTTTTATTTCTAGTAGAGACAGGGTTTCTAGTGTTGACCGTGATGGTCTTGATCTCCCGACCTTATGATCCGCCCACCTCGGCCTCCCAAAGTGGTGGGATTACAGGCATGAGCCACAGCGCCCAGCCTGGTATGTTTTTTTTAAATTGGCCACTTGAGAGTTGTCCTTCAGAAAGTGGAGCAGCAGTGTGATTATTAAAAACGATGGGCTTTCCTGCAGCTCTGGCTTACGGTCTTTGTTTTTCCAGTTAACAGCTGTTTCTTCGTGCTGTTAAAGTCATAGAGGATGGGGGGAGTAAGAGAATATGTCCAGTGGCTTAATTTTAGGGCTCAATTTGTTCTGTTTTTCCTGCAAAATAGTCACCAGTCTTGTCATGCTTCAATGCATATTTTAAAATAAGTCAAAGCCAATTTGGAAGCTGCTATCTTAGATTATTTGTAGTCAGACTTCAAATGGAGAGTGAAACTTTGAGTGACTTTGAAAACTATCTGGTGCTCTATGCTCAGTGATGGTCTTACACATTCCTCTAGAGGACAGGTCAAGAGATAAATTTGGCTTTATTGTATTCTGTCATGTACCATATAGGGAATACTATGGTAGAACTGAAATATGTACAGTATTAATGTGGTAGCTGAGACTGGCACTTGGAAAATAGACTTGGATTCTTTGCTAAGTGTGAAACTAATTACTTTTATGGGACTTGTAGCAGTCACAATCTCCTCGATTGATTATAGCTCCTTTTCAAAGTGGAGAGACCTGAATATAGATTTTAACAGGATGTCCAACCTTGCCAGACAAGCAAGCATACATGTCTCTGGGATGCAGAAGCAGTTACAAGTTAATATATTTAAGCATACTATTAACCAATCCTAGGTGATAACAGAGATGTGAATATTTGATCATATTTGAATTCATTCTTTGAAAGCCCAAGCCTAACTGGTCTTAATTGATTAATTCTTAGTATTCTGAATTTTAGAATTTAAAACCCTGTGAATCTTCAGTTGGTGCTTACATTTTCTAACATTGGATGTTTGCTTTGGCCAGTTCCTGTTCTGTGTGTTTTCTTACAAAGGCTGAGAGATTCATGTTTGAGTCAAGACTTGCAGAATG